TTTATGGAATGAGTGCGCATTAATCTCACTTGTTTGCATTGAGCCAAAATACGCTTGCTAAGAATGATCTCTTGGTCGAAAGGCTTCGCTCTCTAATGCATACTTGTGCCTTATTCCATGTGGTGCAGAATTCAACAAAATTTTTAAAAAATGTGAAGATCGGCATCGCAAATACAGTATATGAAAGTCTGAGCTTGGTTTTGGAATCTAGGTACTGAAAGTGTTGTACTCTTGGAACCGAACTGTTGAGTAATGTGGTCATGCAAATTTACTTAAAAATATCGTTTGCAAAGTATTAACATCTCATTCAATATCCTATGTAATTACGAACATTCGCTAAAAATAACCTGAGATCGATTAACTCCGACATTCCAAAATCAATTTGGTAGTAATGATGCAGCTATTTGCCTTCAAGCTAATAGTAAGATAAAACAGAGCCGATTATAGCAATGAAGCAGAACATCATGTTTCAGCATTAAGGTGTAAGAGTTGAGGTAAAAAAGAAACCTCGGCATTGAGGGACATGCGAGACTCAAGACGTCGACAAATGGCCGTAAACCAGGAGTCGATGAATCCAAAGGGCTCAGACGAGGTTGCAGATGTCGACGCAGCGACAGAGGAAGTAGAGGGATAGGAGAGGGCATCAAGAGCGGATTCGAGATGAGGGAGACACTGGAGACCACCAAGGTGTTGAGCCCATGCATAAGTACGACTACCGTCGTCACTACTGTCACTCAGCGGAAGGAACGAAGCTGATCCGGTCCATCCAGTCACCGCTTCCTCGCCCTCCCAACGTGACGCCTCGCCGCCGCACTGAAGGTGCGCTAACAGCCCTTCCGATGAAAGAAGATCTCTGAAGATAGAAACAATCACTCCTACATTCATACCTCCTTCATCAAAAGCATCAACAGCCCTCTAAGAGGGATCCTCCGGTAAGCAAATCTTTTACAACCACTAGCATAATGTGTCTGTATACTTGACACCCAAGGCTAAGCATTGATTGGAAATAATGATGAGGTATGTACCTTGCTGTTTGCGAGAGAGGACAGAGTTTTTCAATTTCGTAGATCTCCTCTTTTACGGTAACGAGTTTCGCCCGCATCAGCCAAGTGAAGGTCAGCGTCAGTTGCAGATTGGCCCACTTCGTGTCAGTTCCTACAACAAGCAAAGCCATCAAACATGGCTATTCTGATGCTTGTACGCATATCTACATGGAGAAACGACTGAAGTTACCGGTAGTAATGTGCACAACGACAGAAAGGGGGTGAGGCAAATCAGTCCTATGTTGCGACCGTTCACCGTCTTCGACTTCATTACGTTTGGACTTTCGATGAGTTTTCCTCTGCAAAACAAACGAATGCTACACAGGATACTTATATACTAAACAAAACGATTCTAAGGCAGACTGTGAAACTCGCCGAAGGATCAAATAATCAAGAAAAGAGAAGAATCTTTAATTCAAGCAGTTGACCAGTAATGGGATACCTAGAAGCCAACTATCTCAAAAGCTTTCTTTCCAATGGTTAGAT